AATATGTCTGCATCCTGCTCTTGGCCAATTTGCATTGCATCTTGCGAGGCAGTTGGCACCTTATGGATTGCACTCGCTGGGTGGCATTATAGCTCGGATAAGAGAGATATGCAACAATCTTACTCTGTACTTTGTTATAGAGTTTATTGTGGAATGGGAAATGCACTCAACTGAATTAATTAGGGCTAATTGACATTATGATTAGTTGGAATCCATTGAAAGCGCTGTTCATCAAGCCAAAATATCTATATATTAGATAAACTTTATTTTGATGTGGTGTGAAATCTGAATTCAATTAATTTTGGCAGCTGGCATTCTTGACGGGCATTACAACACCTTTTGCGGAGGAGGATACATTAGCGATAAGGATAAATTTGTATCCTGCCTGCCTCTTCATTCACGTTCCAGAGAGAGAGAGAGAGAGAGTTTTCGGCTGAGGCTTTTTATTGCCCTCATATTTTGCATGTCGTGATCCTAGACGCTGTCATAAATTGCGCAAGCCTTGCACAAATGAACTGTACACAGATGCCCTCGGCGGCAGGGAAGAGCCGAAAAAGGATGCAGGACGAAGGACGAAGGACACACACGCACACACAGATGCGCAAACATAATTTGAATACCTCACAAAAATGCACATTTATCGCATAATTCTCTCGTACATCAGCCTGGCAAGGACACACACACATACACATGCAGGACCTCTGCTACTTTTGAGCAGGATCCTGCCTTTTTACGGGGCCAGTGCCTGGCAGGACCCAAACGGATTTTGTCTACCAGGCTCTGCGTTCCGTTGAATGCTTGCAACTAAAACTATTAATAACTGATTCAGTTAGCTGCTACACAGAGAGAAATTATTATGATTCTAGGACCAAAAAAGGATGCCTAGAAGGATACATTCCAGGATAAGCCCAATCGATTTTGGGAAAAGGTAAACCCTTTATACCTCGCCGAGGTGTAACGGAATAATAAGTACTCCCTCTACAGTAACCAGCAAGCAGGATGTCAGGATGTCAGGATGTCAGCCCCAGGATTTCCCTTCTCCTCCTGCCCTTTACTGACCACTACTCTTTACAAGTGGAGAGAGAACTCATGACAAAATCATTACAACCATTTTGTTGTGGTTATCGTCTTGTATATGTATATGTAGTACCAAATGTATGTACACGGCTGCATACATACATAAATATATCCTTGCAACGCCACCTTCGTCCCCATCGCCGTTATGTTGGTTCTACGAAATGGCAAAAGCTGTAAAAAATTTGCATTTTTATAACAACTTAAGTCACCAGACGACTCTACTTTTCCAAGCACTTGAACTGGTTTGCGTTCCATACAAAAAGTTTTCCATGCGTGCCGCCCCTAGTATATACATATACATAAATGTACATATCAGCATATCTAAGCAATAAACACGGAACAAAATTGTATCCGAAAGGAGGCCTTAATAGCTGTCTAAATGACATTCATTCATCAACAAAATTTATATATACATATGTCTAACAGATTTTATTTGTAATAATTTAAAAATCTTTTGTTTTTAGGTTATTATCAAGTTGAATTTAGTAGAAGTTATAGAAAAGATATAGCAAACGAAAAAGGTATATTTATATAAATATTTATGATATAATATATTAACTTTAATACATAGTTTAATACTCAATTTAAATTTAACAATCAAATTATTGCTAAATTTATATAACATTCTTAAGTTTTTTTTATATAATTTTAATCGGTTTTTATCGATTTTTAATCGAAACTGGAAGTACCAGTTTAAATAATTGTTTTTTAAATAATTTAAATCGTTTCCTATAGCATGCGTTATAAAGATGGTGCATTCTACGAAATTATAGCTGATTTATTTTTACTGATATTTATAAACATATTTATATACTATTTTATTTATTTATATACTATTTTATTTATTTATATACTATTTTATTTATTTATATACTATTTATATAGTATTTTAAAATTAATTTAAAAATCTAAATTAATCTAAATTTATCTTGAATTAATTTATTTATCTAAAATTAATTTTTAAATTAATTTAAAAATCTAAATTAATCTAAATTAATCTTGAATTAATTTATTTATCTAAAATTAATCGATTAATCAGTTAGTTCGATAAATCTATTAACTTAATATAGTAATTTTTCATTTCTTTTTCTCAGTGCATACTTGTAATAGTGTGCGTGCATTTATAATAGCAGTTATACTTATGAACTAGAAAGAGAAAACGTTAAACTAAAAAAAAAATATATATAGGGAAGAACCGAAAAAGGCAGCAGAAATTGTGTCCATTCTGGAATCCGCCACAGGCGCGTTGCACACAGGGCAAAGTGGTTAAAAGGAAAAGGGACAAGAGCAGGGACAGGAGCAGGGACAGGAGCAGGGACAGGAGGAGGGACAGGAGCAGGGGTCTGAAAAGTGACTGGAAAAGCGGACGGATAAGCGGAACGACATGTGCCAGGGAGTGTTTAAGTGAACCAATTTCTGCATACGTCTAGGAAAATGTTAAGCACCAAAGAAAAACAAAACAAATAACCAAGTCAATGGAAATGAATTAAGCACATAGCAGTTTGCTGAGTTTAGGTCAATAAAATTAGATATAAAATTATATATTAAAAAAGAGTTTTTAATGGATGCTCCACTGCTAAAATTTCAGTCATTAAATCTAAGATCTTAGATCTTTATCATTTCTCCAATCATGGGATGAAAAATAATTAAGAAATTAATTAAAAAATAAAAAGAAGTTATAAATATTTGTTTAAAAAAAGAGCATATATTCAAATGCCTCCAGGAAAAACTTCTTGAAATATGCAACAGCCATCCTCCGGACAGGATGGAAATAACTTGATGCGGACTCATGTAGACACTGCTAATGCGCATTGTATGCGATAAGTTCTCCATCCTTCCTCTCTTCCCAGGGCTCCAAGGACAACTTCCGACATCTTCATCTGCCTCAAACTGTGAACCAATGCCTTAATAAGTTTTAGTTTACAAATATTAAATTTTTTTTAAATAAAAATCTTTCTTAATGCAGGCAATAGGGAGTCCTATAAAGTTCTATAACTTAAATTTTATTATTAAAAGATGTTTTGTTATTAGAAAATGTTAAATTACTGTCTCAGCTCCAGTGTGCGCTTTAACGATGTGAAGTTTGCTTCCGCCAGACGCTCCACATGCTGACCCTTGGCCCTTGGACCCATCTTCTCTCACCAGCTTCCCAGAGCTCTGGCTCGCCCAGTCTCCTCCAGTTTGTCGCACGACCAACACAAATTACCATCGTTGAGCTGGAAGCACCACTAACAAGCAGACGGAGCTGGGAGGCTGGGCTGTAGTTGGGAGCTGAAGATGTGCGAGGGAAGATGGAGATGGAGATGGGCTTGGGGATGCAGATGGGGTTGGTTATGGCGAGACAATGTCCGCTTTGAGTTAAAGAGTGATGATGAAAAACTGGCTCACTTGATGCTTGTCCCCTGCACCGCTGGAGGAGCGGGAACGCTGCTTCTGCTACTCCTCCTGCTTCAGCTACTCTTCCTGCTTTTGCTTGTGCTCCACTGCTCCGTTTAAATAATTCACCGAGACGAAACGCTGGACTCCGGCATGCATATCCAGTTTGTCCAGCCGGACGCGCTCACATACATATGTAATTCAAGGAGTTATCACTGACACGAGGTCAGAGGAGCCTGAAGCCGGACACTGGCAAAACGATGTATTCAGATAATCCAAAAGGGCTTTCATAGTCTCCCAGAGTCTGTCAGAAATTTCAATTTATATATTTTTGGGTATTTTTTTTTAACAAACTTGTTTTTTAAATGCTATTTGTAATAGATAGCAACTCACTTAGTCCTTCTTTAAATACCCCATAAAGATCTAGATCTTGATCTTGGATCTTGGATCTTGCAGCTGTGGTCTCTTGATTTTTGAACAGTGTATGTGTATCTGAGGAATGCAGTTTAGTATGCATGCTGCAATTTCTATATGGCCATGACGCTGCAATTGCTTGCTTGTGCTCCTTGTGTGCATATATTTTCGCCATGCTTCGTCCTTTCTCCTCCTTTTGCGCATATTTCTACGGTAATTTTTTATGGCTGCAAGCTAGGATCTGCGTCCTGTATGCTGGATGCTGGATGCTGGGAGCAACATGTTGGTCATTTGCTGCATACGTAATTCTGGCAGCAAATCACTTGATGGGCGCTGAAATGATGCCAATTTAGTTGTGGGTGCATGTCATGTGTCAGGCGACAGGGGCATTAGCGGACGGAGCCAACCACTTTCAGCCCTAAATAACTGCTTTGGTCTTTACATGTAGGTTCTCAGTTGACTTTTGGCTTTAGGCTTCTTCAAAAACAACTTAGAAAGGGGGAACTTTGAGAGTCCAAACTTGAAAACTTTATCAATTTTATTTAGAAAATTTTTTCTCACAAATATTGGATATTCATTTTGATTTGTTAAACAAAAGTAGTATATTTTTAATAAGACATGAATCAAAGAACTGCATAAACATTATATTTAAGATGAGGGCATAAGATGGCCAAAGGTTATACATATGTATATGTATGTATATATTTTAATTCACCATTAAAATTGTATTAAATGAATAATAAAATATTGAAAATATCAATTTTGTTATCAATTTTACAAGATTTTTGAAATTTTTAGATTTTTAAAATTATAAATAAATAAAAAATATAAATAAAATATTTTTAAAAGAAATTAAAAAATGTATTTATTATATTTTTTGCACAATTTTATAAATTTTCCATTTATTAAAAAGAACTTACAATATGTACAATGTTTGTATGTAAACGTTCTAATGAAATCTATAAATAATGAATTTTTATTCCATTGTAAAATTGAATATGTTGAATTCAAATTTCAAGAATTGAATATAACGTTATTTTTTGTTGATATTATTTAAATTTGTATTTTCAACAAATAAATCGCCAAAGATCTAGCTATTTTCCAGCGATAGTTTCACCCCCGTGGTGGGTTTCCTCTTTCGATACACAGCTGACGGCAATTCAACTCACCAGAAATCTTAGATAGTTTTTGTGTTTATATTTTTTGGCAAACAAAATGGAAAATGCTGTAAGCATGGCAATAACAATAGCATAAAACATATATTTAATTGTTAATGTGCAGGCGGCCACATCAAGCAGCGGGACGGATGGCAGGAATACCGAGGAACAGCGACGCATTTGGGTGGGAAATCTGGACTCTCGCATCACCGAGTAAGTTGAATGCCCCGCGGTTGCTATAGCGATCGGTGCTAATTATTCCCTTTGCACATTGCCTCCTATCGGTTTCAACTCCTCAAACTGATGCAAAAATGCGGTGCCATCGAGAAGTTCGACATGCTGTTCCACAAGGGCGGCCCCATGGTTGGCCAGTCGCGTGGCTACGCCTTTGTCACATTCGCTCAGGTGAGCTACCACTGCCTTTTGCCGCTAACTATACTCACTAATTTCCTACTTGTCCCTTTCAGAACGAGGGCGCCACTAATGCCTTGCTAAAGCTGGATGGCACCAGCGTGGGCAATCGCTCCATAGCCGTTCGTCTTGCCAAAAACATCAAATATGTAAGCGGAGTGTTTGTATCCTCTTTCCACTTAATACCTGGTTTATACTTCCTGCAGGATGACCTACAGAAGCCCAAGCCGCGCATTGAGATCCCTGCCCTGGGCAGCGGCAAGCGCGAGGAGAAGATCAGCAAGTCTGAAGCCATACGAGCCATTGAGGCCAAATTAAAAGTTTTGGAACGGCAGACGGATGACAATCTCGAGCTCAATACCATGGGCAGGGGTGAGGCAAATGTGCCCTTTATCCAGCGCTATCAGTTCAACAAGGATCGGGACGGAACGCAGCGCTACGGCAAGTCGTCCTCCGCCCCATATCATCGACAGCAGCGACCCAAGCGACGCTAAAACCTCCGCCTCCACACCCATTTAGTCTGTAAACAAAAATCTATAGTAATCTTAGGACGCTACCTCAGCAGACGAGCCTCCTGGCAGGTGTAATTTACAATTTATTTATTAAAAAAACAAAAGACGAGATAAACTAACATATCTACTTGGGGGCAAACTTGATTTTGCCGCGCATGTGGTCGGGCAGTGGAACAGTGCCCGGACATGGCACCTGGCCGGGTATCTCGCAGATGCAGTGGCGGCCGCAGCCATAGCCAAAGTTGGCCGGATTGTCCTTACTCTCCTTCAGACGCGTCTCCGCATCCAGTTGATCCCTGGAAAAGTAGATGTCGGATCACATACAGATGTGATAAAATGAATGATTAGATGCTTACCGCGTCTTGCCCACCACCTGGATGAGGTGCTCAATAATGTCATCCCTGTTACGGCTGTCCACATCGATCAGCATGTCGCGACCGTCTTCGAAGTAGCAGCGCACAAACGGCGACGGCGTCATGTTCTTCAGCGTGAGCACCTGCACCTCTGGGTTCTTGAACTGCACTTGGGGTATGTTCCAGAAGACAAAGTCCCTGCCAGACCACATAGGGAGCTATTAAAGTTGGAAGTTCTGGAGAAAAGTAATCCTATAGGTACTTACCGCGCTCCCGCATGATGGTCACCGTAGGTGTTGTAGTTGACGCTAAAGATGCGCACATTGTCCTTTAGCACCAGTTTGCCCGCATTCAGGTACTTCAGGGTGCGCCGGATGGGCTCGCGTCCCTTCATAAAAGGCATGGCTGTGTTTTAATTGATATTTTAACAGATAATTAAGGAAAAACAGCTGAAAACGCGATTCGGAATCGGCTGCTTGTGTAACTGGGCCAGCTGATGGGCCAGTGTGACCCTATCACGGGAGGCAAACAAACAGTGTTGGCAGCTATTGGCCAAAAATAGCTACATTTTTATTAAATAATTGATAATAATTGATTAATTTTAATTTTTTGTTTTTAATTTGTATTATTTTCCTCGCCTGAATATATATTTAAATTAATTAACAAGATACCCACCATGCCAGTAAATTAATGTTTAATTTCACCATGGCCGGCTGTCAAATTTAATCAAATTTCACCATAGCCGGCTGTCAAATTTCATTAACAAACTACGGTCACATTGCTGCGCTCGGGCAACCTTTGCAAATAATTAAATTCAACTTTTGGCAACATTTTATAGCTCAGCCGAATTATGACAGAAATAACACTCGCTTTGATAAAGCCCCACGTGCTAAGGAACACCTATGCGATGCAGCAAATCCTGTCCCTGATCAGCCAACACTTCACCGTGCTCGGTCAGAAGGAGGTCCACATTACGAAAGAGCTGTCCGAGCGTTTCTACGCGGAACACCAGAATAAGTTCTTCTACCATCGCCTGACCAGCTTCATGAATAGGTAATAAACATATTCAACCTAAAATATAGATTCATTAACACATCCTTCTCCCCAGTGGTCCCTGCTATGCTTTGATCCTGCAGTCGGAGGCCAGCATCCAAAAGTGGCGCAATTTGCTGGGCCCCACCAAGGTTTTCCGTGCGGTTTACAGCGATCCCAACTGCATTCGAGCATTGTACGGTTTGTCCGATACCCGAAATGCCTGCCATGGATCGGACAGCGAAGCCTCGGCCCGCCGTGAGATCAGCATCCTGTTTCCAGAGTTCAAAGTCGCTCTTCCGGATACCCTAGAGAGTAAAAAAGAGACGACTACCATGACGTAGCCCACGGATAAGGCAGTGCATAGGCCAAGAGAAGAACTTGGTCCAGTAGCATTTGTTATTACCTAAATATGGCTGCTCCAGGTTGAACCTGGGAGCACTGTGCCTTAAGGACATGGGATCTCCCTGTGAAGTTGGCTTTGCAAGAACATTTCCGTATCGTAATGGGAAAAGCAGGTAACCCAGTCTCTTGTTCAGTTTTATTAATGTTGCCACAACCGTTAAAAATTGTATGTATAGATTTTTTATTAGAGTGTATAGATATTTACCCTATAATGATATTTAACTAAGCATCTTTGTTGCATTAAGACCAAGAGAATTGGTAGCATATTTTTAATTTTAAGATTTGAAACCAAAACTGTTATAAAAAGTTGAATATAACATGCCGAACGAACAAGTTTTCCTTAGAAACATGTTGAGCAACATGTTTTGGTGTTGCCAAACATTGCGATGCTGCGCAACTTTGTTCAAAAACTGTCTTAGGTACAAGGTACAAGTACAAGGCTCTACACATTTAAAATAGAATACCACAAATTATAATATGAAAAAATGTGCCTATAAAATAAGATTAATTGTGAAATGTTAACAATAAAATCAAAAATGATCTCTCAACTGCTAATTTAACTAGCATGCTTTTTTGGAAAATACCTCAAATTAAAATAAATGAATTAAATTAAAATGAAAATTCATTAAACATTATCATGTGTTTCAAAAACTTTATTTCTTCAATTTTTGTTTACATAATACAATTCTTTAGTCATTAGGTGGTAGGTACATGTATAGATAGAGATTTTCGATTTGTTCTGGTTTAACTCCGTTTAACTCATTTTAAATAGTTGGGAATACAAATTTATAAACTTAACAAATTATATAAATATATAGTATATGTGTAAGTTCTGTGCTATCCCTATAAAAGGGTACAGGTATATGTATTTAAGTATCTATATGTTTTTCTTTTATTTGTAAATCGGTTCAGACCCTGTCAGCTTCTTTTCCGTCATGTCTTGGTGAGTCTGTGAGTGAGCCTTTTCGGGTGTCAGCTTCAAGGAACAATATGAACAAAAAACCGGTACTCGGGGGGGAAAAGAAAAGGATATATACCAAGGACACTCATGCCCAGACTTTAAGGGATGCTGCTCAAGGACAGCAGGAGGTGAAAAAATAAACAGAATAATAGCTAAAAATTTATAAATTATACGGTTGCGAGCGAGGCGGCACCAGCATCTACTGTCTTTTTCTAACTCGCACAAAGTGATGACGAAAAATGAATAATTCGAAATAAAAATGGGGTATAAAAACCAAAAAATAGGATGTAATAATAATAATAATATTCATAAAAATATACCTCTAAGCTTTGTTGTCTCAAAACTCTCTACAGACGAAGCAAAAAAAAAAAAAAAAAAAAAAAAAACTATGTATTTAACAAGTATTCTTAGTAGTATTTTTGTTTGCTCTTGCTTTTGTTTTTCGTTTTCTTTTAGTTGACATTTTTTTCTATTTTTTTGTTAGCATTTTTCTGTGTTTTGTTTTTACTTTTTGGTATCAATTACAAATCTTAAGTTGCAGTCCTACAAAATTTAACAGGCGGCGTCTTTGGCGCATCAAAGTTCGAAACATTCAGTTTGGGGTTTATTTTTTTTTCTTCTTTTTATTTTGGCTTTTGTCCTCGTTTTTTCTTTTTGTATTTAATCCCCATCAGCCGAGTTAGTTGCTATATAAATATTGCTATTCCAACCGATCTCTGGATCGTTAAACACCTATGCATAATGCGGGTATATCTAAAAAGCAAACGGGAGAATCAACGTCGGGGAGAAAAACCGAAAAGCTCTGCCGGCGAGTATTGTTGTCGGTGTGTAGTTTTTTTTTTTTTTAGGTGGGTACTGTACGGATTGGTCAAAGACAATATAAAGCATAAGATGCGTAGCGCCATACGAATTTTGTCAAGCTGGTTCCTAGAGCTTTATATTGCCTTCCGTTTGGGTGGAGTTCTCGATTCCCTTGCTGTACCTCAAATCTCTAGTCCCCACAAAAACACTATAGCGATTTGAAATCTCTCGTTTTTAGACAGTGAAATCTCTAGCGCCTTACGCCATACTTTTTCCTTCGGATCCCCTACATATTTCTTTACATACATAAAATCAATAGGGTCTTAACAACTGCGTGTGTTTTGTCATTTGATTTTTGTTTTTGTTTTTTGTGTTTTTTTTATCTTTAAGTACTAAAACATAAAAATATATGTATGTATGTATATATAGATTTGTATTGTTTGTAAATACGTACGTATCAACTATGCAACTTGGCCTATGCGCGCTACATACAATTCTTAAAGATATACACATGTATCCATACTAATCAGTATCTGTATACGCAAATATAATCTTTGAATGTAACCAGCTCATAGCGTAAAAAGACTATTTCGAATAGTTTCCGTTTTTCTCTAGCATTACATTTTTTGTCAACGACAACGTCAATATATCAATATAGGTTGCTCTTATAGTTCCACGACAGATCCTCTCTTCATCTCTCTCTATTCCTAGTCATCGATCCCCTTGTATTCTGTCAATGCTTCACTCCTAATATATCCTTGTATAGTAAATAAGCGAATGTATATTTGCTTCATTCCTTCCTCTAGGTCTGATGACCCCAGTCCCACCTTGAGCACATCCCGGGGCAAGCTTCACTCGAACATGGCCATCGATGAGGTGGGCACCACCTCCAGCAGTAGCTGGAAGAACAGGGTCACCTTGTCTGCAATGAGAGAAAGGGATTTAATTGAAACCCAAATTAATTTTATATAATTATGAATTACTTACTCATAAACCTCGGCGTCATGCCCAGCTTCACGAATGGCACGTAGAAGATTAGGCCCGCAAAGATGAAGAGCAGGGCATACAGATACTCAATGCGCGGCGTCTCGAATATGGGTGCCGCCACGAGATAGATGGATATGACCAAGACCACAACGGGAATGATGATCGGCACTTTGTACGGCCGTGGATAGTTGGGTTTGGTGTAGCGCATCACGATCAGAGCCAGCATAGCGCCACCGTAGAATATCCAGGCGGTGAAGCTGAAGAAATCAATCAGCGAATCAATTGTGCCGTGGAGCACCATTGCCGAGGCAATCAGCGACTGCGGGCAGAGACGGGGAATACATATGCCACAGAGAAAGGTACAGATCGAGGGAGAGAGAGAGAGAGATAGACAGGAGTTTAAAATGGGGATCGTATTTTAAATTTATATAAACATATTTATATTTTGTACAATTTACTATTTGCAATTTTCGGAATATTGTTTATCTTCAAGCTAATATAAAGCAAAATTAATTCGAAAAAAAAAGATTATAAAGAATAACATGCGTAACGTTATGGTTTTAACCTGGCTTCAGTCACTCTTGAAATGTGTTTGAACGAGAAAAAGACAGAGAGCTCTCTCTTTCTGTCTTTATTTTTGAGCAGTCTAGATCTTCCTGTCTGCTTACTTAGCTGATTCTAGACTTACTTCCACAAGGAAGCGCATTCTATATATAGTTTTTTAAATATCAAATGTAAGCGAGGGAAAGGTCTTGCAATTCTATGCGCGTTACGCATCTTATTTATTTTTATTTTATGGACGAGACTAATTACAAATATATTTTGTTAAAGAAACGTGGAATGTGAAAGATATGGTGATTTTCCTATGGGTAAAGTCTTTGCTACTTACGTGGAATATCAGGCCTGGGGCGGGTGTGAGGCGGCGCACATGGACATAGGAGAGTATATCCAGCAGGTGACCCTCTCGACTGGCCGCAAAGCACAGACTGCAAGGAAAAAATGTATATATAATAAAAATATTAAAAATATAAATTATGAAAAGAGTAAAAATATATCAAAAATAAATTATAGTATTATACATTTCCCTACCGTCCAGCTGCAAAGAGCGTGCCATTTGCACTACCAAAAGTGCTAATGGTGACGCTGAGTGGCATGAGCCAGGCGAGGGCTCCGAGTATGCGATTGCCAAAGGTGACGGCCACCGCCTCCGATTCGATCATCTCCTGGGGCGACATGGCCGCCAGATAAGAGATGTTAATCAGAGCATAGCAGAGCGTCACCAGCGGTATACCGATGATGATTGAGCGCGGTAGATTCTTGCTGGGATTCTTGATCTCCTCGGTGACATAATTGAGATTATTCCAGCCGTCGTAGGCCCACAGTCCCGTATAAAAGGCCGTGGCAATTGCGCCCACGTTCGGCATCGGGCCATTAAATGCATTCGACAAATGCTGTGTGTTGCCCTGCATCAGCTTATAGGCGCCGCCGCAGATAACCACCACCACGGCCACCAGCTTGGCGGCAGTGAATATATTCTGCACGGCCATACCCAGGTTAACGCTGTAGCAGTTCACGAACAGAATCATCACTGTAACGGAGATATAACAGACAAGGTTATATGGAATAAGATATCAGGAGCTAAGTGGTACTATATACTCACCAATTGCCACCAGGGCTACCATCTTGACCACGCCCCTGGGCGGGTCGCATTCAGTCACAAAGGCCTCAACGGCGTACTGTGCAAATGATAAGCATATTATAGCCATTTGAGATGGCTTCAACACCAATGTCGATACCCATGAGAACAGAAACGCCGGCGCCGGTCCATAGGCATCCATAAAGTACGCCCACTCCGCCCCCGACGATGTGTTCATCGTGCCAAGTTCAGCGTAAGCCAGAGCGCCTACGCAAATCGAAAAATAAAAGAGATGGAAACCGAGGAAAAATTAGAACAAATGGGAAGTTTGTCAAACAAATTAGAGCCAAGACCCGAGGTCACTTAAATGACCTTCTAAGCAAATTGTTTTCAGGCTAAATTTTGCGCCCAACTAAGGGTTCAATTTTAAGTTCTATTCTATTAGGGTTTATAATTATGAGTTAATTGTACATAGTATATAAGCGCTATATGAATACTGAAATTGAAAAAATATATTTGTACTATTTTATTTATATTTAAAAACTATATTTTTATAAATTTTTAAAATAATTTCCTGGTTGCAATGGGAATGTTTTAACATTTCAGTAAAGAAAATATTAAAGCCTTACTGTATTTAAAAAAAAAAAAAAAACATTTTTTTTTATAATTTTCTGTCTAATAAGGCAAATTTAACCAATGTTTTCTTTCACTGTATCAGTACTATACAATGAAAAGCATTGGATTTTTGGCAATTTGCCAGCCGTGCAACAAGTTGATGAGATGTGGATAATGATGTGTAAAATAAGTGGGTCAGCTGCATGCAATGCACGTGGCTATCGGTCATGAGCGACCGAGACCAGGGATGGTGTTTGGAACAATACTTACCCAGCAGCGAGAGCAGACCACAGGCAAGCCAGATTATAAAGCTAACTCCAACGGAACCAGTGCGAACCAGTAAACCGGAGGGTGACACAAAAATTCCAGACCCTGTAAATGGAATGAAAGAACATATATAAACATATATTAGGCTAAGAAATGCAATCAAACAAGTATGAAAGTTATAGTCAATAAGGCCCGACTGTAAGATATCTTTTAAAAAAATTATAATCCTAAATTAAAATCTATAGTGTTAGCTTAATGTTTCTATAATATAGCATTAAAAGGTGGCACAGAGAAATCGACGATTCGATTTGGATAAAATGCTTATATATTTCTCATAATTGTATACCATCCAATGCCATATATAAAAATAAATATATATCCCACTGTGCAATGCATACGTCACAGTTGCATTCAAAAAGAACAGCTGATTTTCCGTGGATTCGTTTATGCTAATGTGGGAGTGAGGTAAGATAAAGGGAGAGAGAAAGAGAGCGATAAATCGCAGATATGTAAAACAGTGGGTGTTGCCGACGTCATCAGCGGGCGTGAGCTTCGGCAAAAGCTCTGAAAAACCACGAGGCGAAAGCATAATACCGGTAAATAATGGTTTTTCTCTTTTTCGCGAGAAGCATTTCCCCCGGAGAGGCAGGCGCATCCGGTGGGCGAATGAGAGAGAGAAAAGGGAAACCAAGAGGACAAAGAAAAGGAGAAATGCGTGCAACAATTTGGTAACACAATTGCGTGCCACAACTGGCACCATTGCCTAAGGTCAAAGTGCAATACCGATAATAGCCGGTATTCGTGTCATAAATATGTAACCTAACCTAACTTCGTGTATGCCAACAATTAAGGGTAAAGCCATAGAAATTATTTTGTTGATTGAAAAATAAAAACAAAAAATCGATATTTTAAAATTCCAATAGCTATTTAGTAAGATATATAGGATAAATATTGTCGCAGAAAGAGACAAATCGATAGTTTTAGGTTGATTTAAGCTCATTTTCGATATTTCCGATTTTTAAATATCCAAAGTTTGCTATATTTTCAATGTGATATTAAGCGCGATATTGTAGTAAATATGTATATCGTATGGAATTTTTAATTTTTAGATGCATTTTTTGGCAATCGAGTTTCGAAGGAAGAAATCACTTTATTCCCTTTACAAGTTGTCAAAAGTATGCTACAAAATATATAACCTTATTTATTTTTTAAAATTTTAAAACCTTTGCTATTTCTGTGGCATCTTAAATGCCTGTACATGATTTTAGATAATTATATACATATTCTCTTGACCATAACTGTATTTTTTTGATAGTATTTTGCTGCAACCTTCATGTACACGTTTATTTTACTCCAACTCAACATAAAAAAAAGAAGAGAAAATGCCGGGAAAATGCCCTTATACACAAAATACAACACCCACGGACAGACAGGCAACACCTACACATATATCCCGGAGCTGTATACATATATATACTGCTATACGTAAATACATATATCTAAATTTATGCGAACGTATTTTTGGCCATGCGCGCCTCCAATTCAGCCCACAAACAAAATCTAAACGCCATGAAAAAAATGTGCCACAATATTTTTCAGCGACCCGGCCAAGAGGAGAATGTTAAATGTATAAAAAAAAAAAAAACAAAAAGCGAAGAAATAAGAAAAAAGTATCAACAACAACGGACACAAGAATAATCATTTGACACGGTCCAGGAAAATAGCATGTTCTTCTTGTTTTTAAGCATCTCAGTGATTTTTCTCCTGGCTCATGTTTTATGCATTTTCGTCTTGTTTTTTTATTATCTCAAGCGGAGGTTGCACTTACCTATCATGGTTCCAACAATTAAAGCCACCCCACTGAAGAGGCCCAGCCTGAAAAAATACAAAGAACATGGCGTAAATTAAGTTTTACAATTGAAAGTTGAAATTTTGTATACACTGGATGCTAATCGTTTTTAAATAATGCAAAATGTATCTTGGTTAATATCAGAAATGGGAGTTTTAAACAAGAAATTAAGGCCATCTTCGGAGGCCAAAGATTGTTTGTAAGTAAATTATACGATTATTTTTATAAAGTCAGAATTTTATTTTTATAAAAATGTTTCTTATTTTCTAATGAAAGTGTTTTATATTGAAAAAATAAAACTTAGTAAATAAAAAAAGGCTTTAGTGAGCAGATAAACTTTGGACTTATTTCTAAAAATACATATATGTTAGCATATCGTTAGTTAGATGTCAAAATCTAAACAGTAAACTTGTTAATTTTAAGTGAGTAAAGTACAAGTTTTAATTAACACCAAAGTGTTAAATTTAAATCAGCTGTAAAGCACGCTTCTGTCTAGGTAAATAGAAAATGTTTACGAAAACACACTGAAACCAATACCGACAACAACTATTTATAAGTAAACAGAACAAGTTCAAGCATTAAAACTAGGAAAAGTGAAACCACTTTTAAGCAAATATTTTTAAAAGAAATTTGAAATTTAAATTGAAATATTAAATTATTGAAAGAAATGTTAAAAGTGGTTTTAGACTAATGATATGTATAAAGGAGAGTAAATATGGTACATAACATATTTACATAGAAATTAATAGTTACTATGGTTATTTTTTGATAAAAGTTAGTCATGTACTTTTTGTATTTATCAACATTTGTATTAACGTGAACCCCAAAATTGTGTGAATATTAAAAACTGGTAACAAGGTGGCTTGGTAGTAGCATATTAATACAAATACAAATAGATTCTTAGATTCCTGTTTAGTGTTCTTTAAAATAAAAATAAAGGTCAAAATAAAAAACAGACAATTACAATTGTATTTTTCAAGACGTACAGTCATATCTAAATCAGATTCCATTTCGCCGACTTACCTAGCAATCGATGTGGTTACCATCACTGCAACGCTAATACCAGTTGGGAATTATAACGTCACAGGGGTGGGAAAAACCTCGCAACTAGGCTCATCGATCTGCCATAAGAAATACATATCTAAAGCGGTGTATGCTTCGATTGCTGCTCTGGGCAATGGTCGTCATCAGCAATGGAAACTGACGTTTTCATTTTTGGCAAGACAAGATTGATAAAATATATGTATGTATATATCCTACCTTCTCTCGAGGTGAACAACGTGGTTCTGCGTTGAGCCATTCCTCTCCAGCGGCTTCCGCATCCTCCCGGTCCCTGATGCGTCGGTCTCTGTCGCTTCGGGCCCTTCTGTCCCAAGAGACCCATTGGCGCACATGGTCCCGTTGCTCGTTGCTTTTGTTGGCACATTATGTCCTGCAGGATCACCGGAAAAAAAGATCAGAGACACATTCAAATTAGCATCGGATTACAACAAAGTATTATCAAATCACAATAAAAAAAAAAGAGAAACAAATATGAAGCATAGAAATTAATATTTCTGTTTTCAATATTGATCTTAAAATATCTTTTCCAAAATAATCAAACAGAGAGCAGAGCACGTGGGAAGGGATTAACATTCTGAGATCTATTCGACATTTGTGGTTCCAAAATTAAATACGCCTTAAAAAATTGGAATGAGTGTTTAATAAAACATACTTTTTATATCACAGAGACTATAATAAATATTTTTGCATTAAGAACTAACACAATAATTGGTATAATTATTTGAAAATCAGTTTTTCTTTTACTAAGCTAAAAAAAAAGCACATACACAGGACTTGCACTAGAAAAAAAGTTTGATTTTAAATTGGATTTTAAATTTTAATTTTATAAAAAATTATTTTATTCAATATCTAACACTAAACCATCACAAGGATATTGTTCTTCTTTCCGAGAAGTATATGTGAATCATTCATAAAAAAAATATGTGAATGAACACTCGCACACCCACACCACACACACACCTCTATTATCTGTTGAATTATTATTTTTGCATGCGGTTTTTTGCAAGCAAAATAGTTGTGATATTTTATCGCGCATGGCATGGACGGATAACAAGTTGCTAATATTATTTCGCCGCGAATTTCAGCTCTCAGCGAATACGAATATATGTGAAGCGGCCAAAACGGAACAGGAACGTTGGGTAGAACGGCGGTAGAACCAAGAGAATCGTAACGCTGTGGGCGACAAATTGCAGGCAACTGTCCGCCTGCCACTTGGCGGCGGCGTCAAATAGTCCGCACGGCGAGAGCTTTCCGCCGACGGGTGAGCCGAGTGGCAGTCGTGCGGCAAACGAACAGCAACCGAGCTCCACCCGAAGTACCTACGAGAGGCTAACACGAAGAGAAAGTTAGGATGCTGTCGAGATGATGACGGCCAGTGATGAGCAAAGGCAATACTTTTGTCCAACTGTACCCGGAGTATTTGTTTATTTTATGGTACAAGTTATTTTAAAATTTTTTCTAATTGTACGGTACAATATCATCACTAGAGATTTAAATACGTTTACAAGTTTTGCAATATAAGATTCTGCCTTGAGGTACAACTTCTTCTAAAAGTTACGGCACTTGATTCTTATTTTGCGTACCTGTCCCTTAACTTTGGATGGATCTAGGTACAATATTCCAGATTCTATCCAACACTGTCGAGTACTCTCTCTTTCTCTCACTCTCTCTGTCCTCCCTTGCTGGCTCAGATTCGCCGTTAGCTTTCGCCGCTGTCTACGTGACAGAGTTTGTGTATGTATAAATGTCCTCCTGCTTCTGACTGATTTATGAAATTTTTTTGCCGACTGGCGTATGGGTTCTATATTTTCATTATAAGATTGTCAAGGTGAAGGCATCGCGCTCTCTCGCTTTCGCCTCTCGCTATCGCTCTTGTTAGCGCTTTCGCTCTCAACTTTTCCCGGCTATTAATAACTTGAAATAAAAAATTTAAAATTGAATTAGTCGGCTAATTCCCCCCGGCGACGTCAGAAGGTTCCAATGCATCCACAAAATCTGACAAATAGACCAAGACCAACACGCCGCAAGGGATTCGTCTTCATCGCTCTCTCGGCAGCTTCTGGGCGCCTTCGGGATACCGTGCTCTCGCACTGTCTATCGCTCTTTACTCTCAATTAATTGTTTGTGGCGCATTTCATTTGCCTCAATTGACCGTTTTGTTTAATTTTTTTTTATATTTTTAATAAGTATTGGTAGGGGGACTCCGGCCCAGAGCCAGAGCCTCTCTATTAGGTCATGTGCTGCGACTCCCTATGTACATCTACGTCATTGGGTCTTTGCCTCTGCGGTATCTTCGATATTCTCTCGCCCACGAGGCGTCAAAATTTCATCAGCCCGCCGACTCGTTTGTACCCAGATACATACATACATACATACATATTTATGTACATATATACAGACATACAATTGTGGTTCCAAAGTTTCATAGTTGCTCTCACTCACTATTTCCGTTCGATTCTACGCCTGGACTTGCCCCCAAAAATCGTATATGTATCGAGAGATAGTGTTTAACAAGTAAGTGTCTATAAGCAAGAACATAAATATCATACGTATTCGGGGATTTGGATACACAAGCCCTCACACACGCCGTCACTGCCACTGGAAATAAAATAGCAATGATCTCTCCCTGACTAACGCATCCAGTGGAATAAGTCATAATGAATAATATTTTTAAATTAGAAGCCTGGTTTTAAACGGAAAATTATGAATGGGATATAAATACGATCGAATTCGGTATTTAAGGTTATCATGTTTGGGTAAACACTGCGTATACGTGATAAAATACACGTTACGTATACGCCATGTTGTATATGTATTACACTTAAAATTATGTCCTTCATGTTATTATTTTTACAGTAAATAAAACAAAATAAAATCATAGTGTTCAGGTTGAAAATTAATAACGATCTGTGGTAAAGCTGCGTATACGTGATTTAATACACGTTACACGGAAAATTAAGCCCTTGTGTTATTATTTTCTTAAAGCAAATATAAAAAAAAATCATAATGTGCTATTTAAATATTTATAATCGTATTTGAGAAAACACTGCGTATACGTGATAAAGCATTTGTTACGTATACGCCACCTAAATATTATATTGTCTTAAAATTTAAGTACTTTCTTATTTTTCAAGAAAAATTAAACTAATAAAATCATACAGTTTAGGTACAAAATTATTTAACGATTTATTATCGTATTGGTGAAAACACTGAAGAATTTGTTACGTATACGCCACCTAAATATTATATTGCCTTGAAATGTAATGACTTTATTATTCTTCAAGAATAATTTAACTAATGGAATCATACATTTTAGGTAAAATTTTAGTGAGCTTGTTTTGGGAAACACTGCGTATACGTGACAAAATATTACGTATTCGCATTTTTGAAAATATTTGACCTTAAAAATTTTAAATAAATAATAATTCAAACCTGGCTTCATGTTAAACAAAAAAAAAGAAAAGAAAATCTTGTTCAATACCTACAACAGTCTTGGATAAATAGATATTTCCAGAGCTTAACACTCTACCTGGAAGCTCAGAAGTATTAGAGAACGATTGTACATTTCTTAGAATGCACTATTATTTTTCCCGCCACAGTACGTGTGTATAAATAAATAATCTACGTCTATACCCTGGCACATATATCCCAATAAACATAAATAAAGGGGTCCTATGTTAAGCTCTCTGTCGCCTTTCTTTTTTCTTTCTTTCTATGTGTCTCTCTTTCTTCTTCGTCTTTCTCCTCAATGTATATGTATGTTATTTTCTGTCATAAAAGTCACGCGCCCGTGAACATTCCCATCTTCTGTTTTCTGTTTAGATTTTTAGCCAAAGGGGCGTGGCAAGCAGACAGCAGACATGGGGCACTTTACTTAGCGATCTTAATCATTCTAAGCCAACAAGCGATCGCATGTCCATTGCAAAAGTAAACAAATGAAGGGAGCTAGAGATCGAAATGATTCTAGAAAACGACCACTTTATAGAGTTTGAAATTCACAGACAAGCGATAGATCTTGTTACTTAATGGTGTTACTTACTTATTTACTCATTGAAACAAGTTGTGTTATAGTTTTAGTTAATTGTTGAAGATGTATAACAAATATTTTTGTAAAGTCTTGGATATATAAAAGATTGAAAAAAAAAACAAGTGCAGTAGGTTCTTTGTTTATTCTGTGAACCTACAAGTTGGTTTTTATCATTTATTTTTATATATTTAAATTTGTTTTGTGTTTTATTATTATTATTTTTTTTATGTTATCTATATTATTTTTCTTAATCAGACAGATAAAAAAAAACATTATAGAGAGTATACTTCCAACATTTCATTGATAATTAAGTTACTGCTTCCTTTCCGTTTCCATTAATTAAATTTTAAATTTATATACTGTACACACATTTTTCTTCAGTGTACAAGAGTCAGCCTCTTGCTACCCCCGTTCTTTTGCCACCCAACTCCAGTGACGCAAAGAAGTCGCTGCCTGCCAGCGCCACTAAATGAAAATGAGTAATAATCACGCGCTACACATAGCACGGAATTTCTGCACCCCCCGAGTCCCTAGCCTCCTGCCACCGTTTTCCTCGATGATTTTGCTCGGCAAATACTTGGCTATTTCTTGCAAATGAAATTTTTAAATATGCCAAGCTCAACGTCGAACAAAATGACGCGAGCGAGAGAGAGAGTGGAAGCGAGAGAGGGGGTGCATCTTAATTGGCATTTGGCCAAATAAAAATCATTTTGTTGGTAAATATTTTCAGGTTTCAGTTAATTTTCTTGTTCTGAATTGAAAGGTAGATATAGTGCTCGTATGGCATCGATTACCAAAACAAACATAAATTAATTCAAGCGATACGAATGTCGAAGCAAACATTAAACCCTATCTAAAAAATGTTTTGCCAAGGAAACCCCTTAATTCATTTATTTTAATTACTCAGAAGATTAGGGTAAAAATAATATATGTAAATATACAACAAATCCAACCAAGTTCTAAGTAATACTTAGTAATATAAACAATATAAAACCCATCATGTTTCAATGTAGCAATGGATCCTCTTGATCTCTTCTCCCTCTCGATCATTTCTTTCATAAAATTTAATAAAAAATGTATTCAGCCGCCCTGCTATTGCCGATATTTAATTTAACATTATTTGTTCATTATTTAGCCTTCGTTGGCTGTTAATTAATAGGCGCATGGAAATGCTTTATCTACTCAGCAGCTTGTACCGCAAAATATATATATATGTATATGCTTTGTTGGATTGATTGATTGATGGATTAATTGATCAACTGTTGGATCGATTGTCCGTGCTGGCTCACCTTTGACCAAAAGAAGCGCCGACCTACCATCGTCCAATAAATTAAGGAACTTGGTCACAAGTGTTTGCTTAACCCTCGACTGACACGCGAGCCCGAAATAAAACCACACGCCACTTTGCTTAACTGATTTGTTCCGTTTCTCGAGTCCCAAGTCCCGAGTTCCAAGTCCCGAGGAACCCGTCAAAAGTGTCAATGGCCCTGTCCCAGACTTAAGTCCCAGCCCCTCCGAAAATGCTCAATTCGGTTGTCCACTTGTCATAACAAGATCAAACGTTTATGCGGGATAAAAATTAGGAAATTGGAAATAGTATTTTCAATCTTTAAAAATAGGTTTCAGGGTAAAAAACAGAATGAGTTATCTCCGAGTTCAATTGGATGATCAATTTGGGAGTTATTTGGCAATAAACTGGTATCAAAGACCTTATAATAACAAGATGCATAACGACCGTGCCCTTTATTTGCCATGTGCAAGTAATTCTTTTGTACATAAGTAATAAATTTGCGAAAATTCTAAAATCTTAAAGTAATATGGCACAAAGGTCTTTTGTTGCACCTATATAATCTCTATCTTTCTCGCACCTCAAATGGTTACTCAAGTTCCGAACCTTGACTGTAAAAAGGACCACTTTAGCGTTATTTATTTGTTTGTTTATTCAATTCTAAAACTTTTTAGAACTGTAATTTTTAAGGTTGATTACAGTCTCCTAATTAACTAAAAAAAAGCAGCTTTCTTTCTTACTTTTCCTTTATCAATTATAATTATATCATTATATTATTAATGGAGGCTGAATGCGTGATATATTAATTATAAGTCATAACTTTAATTTCATTGAACGGCTTTTAGCACCTTCGATATTCAAGC